TGCTGCACCTCCTCCTGCTGCTGCTGCTCGTTATCTTGCTGCTGCTGTTGTTGCTGCTGCTGCTCCTTATGCTCCTGTTCCTTCTGCTTCTCCTCCTGTTGTTGCTGTTGCTGTTGCTCTTCCCTCTTCTGCTGCTGCTGTTCCTGCTCTTTCTGTTGCTGCTGCTGCTGCTGCTGCTGCTGAGCTGGCAGCGACTGGCTGCTGCTGTCACCGCCCGCTGAGGTGTATGTACAGCTCAGCTCCCGTTGCAGCGACTTAATTTGTTTGCCTTTTGTTTCAGCTGCTGCTGCCTCTGTCTCCTCCTCCTCCTTCTCGCTTATCTTACTCTCTACGCTTTGCTGCTCTCTGCGCATGCAGCTTTCCCCTGTACTCCTGCTGCTGCTGCTGTTGCTGCTGCTGTTGCAGCTGCTGTTGCTGCTGCTGTTGCTGCTGCTGCTGCTGCTGTTTCTGCTGCTGTTGTTTGTTGGTAGCTTCTGCGGCTTGCTGCGGGCGACAGCAGCTGCTGCTCTGTACAGCTCGCGCCTGTGCTGCAGGTGCTGCTGCTGCCAGCTGCTGAGAGCTTTCGTTCCTTCCTCTTCGAGCTGCAGCAGCTTCTTGCTGTATGCTTCTAGCAGCTTGGGCCACTGCTGCAGCAGCGCAGCATGCTGAGACAGCTGCTGCTGCTGCTGCTGCTGCTGCTGTTGAGGGGGGGCTTTGCATGCGCTGCTGCGGATGACAGCAGCTAACTCCTCTGCTGCTGCTGCTGCTGCACGCACCTGCGGGGCTCTTCCCCCCAGCACCTCATCTTCTGTGTCAGTTAAGCTGCTGCTGGAATCCGCGCCGAGCTGCTGCTGCTGCTGCTGCTGCTGCTGCTTTCGCTGCAGCAGGGATCCATTCATCTGAGGCAGCAAATTCGAGTCTTTTAAAGCAGCAAGTGCTGCAGCAGCAGCTGCTGCTGCAGCCTCGTTGCTTCTCTCTAGAGCTGCTGCTTCTTCTCTTAGTGCTGCTGCTGCTGACTGAAACAAACAGCCCGCCAAGACGAGAGGCTGCTCCTGCTGTCTCGCGCTGCAGCAGCCGTTTGCTTCTTCTTGCTGCTGCTCCTTCTCTGGGGGGGAGACAGCAGCAACACCAGCAGCAGCAGCAGCAGCAGCGGTTCCTATCCGGCCTACATTCGCTGACTGCTGCAGCAGCTGCAGCAGCTGCGATGTGGTACGCAGCAGATCCTTGAAACGCCCAAACGGCTGAACAGCAGCAAAACAAGAAGGCGGGGGGCTGCTGCAGTTTGATCGAGATGAAACTCTGCTGCCAGCTGCTGCTGCTTCTGCTGCTGCTTCTGCTGCTGCTTCTGCTGCTGCGTCTGCTGCTGCTTCTGCTTCTGCTGCTGTGTCTGCTGCTGCTTCTGCTGCGGCTTCTGCTGCTGCTTCTGCTGCTGCTTCTGTTGCTGCTGCTGCTGCTGCTTCTGCTGCTGCTTCTGCTGCTGCTTCTGCTGCTGCTTCTGCTGCTCCAGCATCGGCTACTGCTTCTGCTGTTGCATCTGCTGCTGCTTCTGCTGTTGCTTTTGCTGCTGTTGCAGCAGGCGAGCAGACATCATGCAGGAGTTTGTTGGTTGACAGCAGTTCATATAAATCAGAGGTGAGGCTCTGTTCTTGCTGTCTGAGCTGTCTGTACGTTTCACTCCATTGCCACCTCTGCATCACGCGTTGCTGCTGCTGCTGTTGCTGCTGTGTTCGCTGCAGCAAAGAACCGCCGACTGCAGCAGACTTTCGGTGCTTCTGCCGCTGCCGCTCCAGCAATGCCTGCATCTTCACTCGACCCAAGCATTCATAATTTTCTTTAGTTTGTACTACACGCGATCACAATCGCAGCAACAAAAGCTTTCAGCCCCGTAGCTCTCCACACAACTTGTTGCAGTTCGTCAGTCGGCAAAGGGGAGTTGAGCGGGGTGAGTCTCTCGGTTGCATTGCTGCTGCGGCGCAGCGTATGGCCGACAATAGACCATTGGTCAGGTCCAGTGGTCTCGGCCCTTCGTGTACGTTATTCCTGCTTGTTCACAGGTTCCAGCAGCTGGGGTGCTGCACAATATGAACGGGTCACGCAGTGAAAACGGCGAAACTGAAGTGGCTTGTTGTGCGTAGTTTCTGTCGCATTCTCAACAATACGCAAAAAAGAATACATAAAAGTCGTGATTCTGCTAAAATAATTTCGAAATATATGCAGATACCTCCGCTTTCCTCTAGATCGCGTTGGTGATCACTGAGCTGCACATACACCCCAGCGCGTACACTCACTCACACCTTGGATTCTATGCTTTCCATGAATAGAAAGCTAAGAAAAACGTTTCGTTTTTATTGTTTTTAGTTTATTTTGTCAATGTTTCTAAAATTTTACAGCTTTCATTGAAATATGAACGCCGTTTCAGATGACGACTCAACAGGGTTTCGCTTCGGTACCCGTCGGCGATCTGGCGCCTTGAGGATCCGTGAGCTACGGCTGAAACGAAACAACTTTTTGGGTAATTAAGTTTAATTATTTAAAATATTAATAAATAATTATTTGAATTACCCAATAAGTGTGGAAGGTTACTCACTTGTTTTCTCTGTTTCAGGAACGCATGCAGATCGATGTATCTCGGTGCGGGGCCCCCTCGTCATCGAGCTGCCGAGACACCCGAGGCCTGTGGATGAACTTTACAAGGAAAACTAGCGGATATTTCATTGATTTTCTTGTATTTTTTCTCTTGCTTGGTGTGTTATATTTGTATCTTCTGTTGTATCTGAGCATCTCAGCTGCTGTTAGCTACACTGCAAGGTGTATGGACGTTTGTCTGTGAGCTTACGAGCCAAAACCCCCAACCCCTTTCATCAAATATATTGAATATTCAGTTGCAGTGTACGTACAGCGACGAAGGGGTCTCTGCAGCCTCCAAACCTCCGAAGCTATCCACAACAGTTTACGGCTTTCCTGGTCCCCCAGTACTCGCCAGCAGCAGCGAGGGTTGTTTTTCTTTTTTCTATGCATGCAGAGGAATATTACTTTTTCTTTGAATGATTGAATAGAAACTTTAATATATTTGAAGGCAACATTGTCTACAGGGTAGTTTATAACTTGAATTTGTTTCTGCATCGTTGTTGCTTACCNTATTTGAAGGCAACATTGTCTACAGGGTAGTTTATAACTTGAATTTGTTTCTGCATCGTTGTTGCTTACCCCCTGCCTCTTGCTTGCGGTGTATGTACACCCCAAACACCACCACACAGCTACTGGCCCAATGGAGGAGACCGAAGGCCCATCAGAGTTTTACGATACAGATACAGGTGTGTTTTCTTTTTTAATTTTTTTATTGATGAGATATAAAAAAAGGTGTATTCTGAGTGTA